TGTGGTACAGAATTTGTGATGTGTTCAAGGCACAACCTAATGCCGGCCTGCTTGATGTTGGGCCCTCATTTGAAATTTTTATTCTTGTTTCATATGATCACTCAATCTAAGGTGGATTTCAATGAAATAGAAATAATGTAAAAACCTCCCCATAAAGTTGCTGTTGATTTAGTGTATGGCTATGTAAATGTGAACTAAATGGATATGACTTGGTTGTATGAGTTTGCCTGCTCACGTATATATTTACGATCTTCCAGCTTATCCTTCCTGATTCAATGAAGGTGCTCCCAGTCTACATGAACTGTCTTCTGAAAAGCTCTGTTCTGATGGGCAAACCAGAGATCCCTACAGATGAAAGAACTCTCCACAGACAGCTGGTCATGTCCATGGATGTTGCAAGCACCCAACTTTTATTCTATCCACAGCTTCTGCCAATTGTAAGAATTTGGGGAGAAGGGCATTATTAGGTCTGTGAATATCTGAAAAAGACATGGGAGAAATATTCAGTCCAGCAATCTGTAGTTGTTCTGACAAGACAGAGATGAGCATTGGGTTTGGTTAAACTTTGTTGGAGAAAGATACATGATGATCAAAACTAATTAGACAACTTGTTTCATGTCTTGTCGTGTCTATTTTTTCCAGGAGACACAATGCTCTTCCCATTAATGTAATAAAGGAATAGGAACCTAACAATCTAAAATTTATTTTTGCAGCATTCCATGGATATAAATAGTCATGTTTTCCCCTCTGCTGTTCGCTGCTCAGAAGAACGCCTGTCCGAAGGAGGCTTATTTTTACTGGCAAATGGGATACATATGTTCTTATGGCTGGGAATCAGTGCCCCACCAGAAGTTATCCAGGGGATATTTAATGTGCCATCTTTTGCACATGTCAGCACTGAAGCTGTGAGTAAAAGAGTGTTAAGTGTTTGTGGGGAATTGTGTTAAGTCCTTATCTTAAGATTTTATCTCCAAGTTGATAATGCTGAGAGTAATTTGGGGAAGGTTGACACTTTACTCATCCTTTTCCCAGTTGTGAGCAGTTTATGGGCAAGGGGGTTCAGACTGAATGAGACCAAATACCTTTATAGTATGGGAGGGCACCTGCCTTAGGTTTGGGGACTGCATCCTGGGCCCAACAAACATCTCTCCACCCCCAAATTTGTTCTACAAGTTGTACTGGATAATTCTGCAATATTTAGGACCTCCTTGCCCTTTTTTAAGGTCTCATAAAGGTTATTCTCAACCAGGAAGGAATCAGAAACTCTGTTTGGGAAATAGCCCCACCTGTCTAAAACAAGGATGGGGAGATTCAAACAATGACGGAATCCCCTATTATATGACAGATTAACTTACAAATTAAGGTTAGAGAGAAGAGAAATAAAAGAGAATTTGCTTGCAGTCATATGGAAACCATTTATTAGCTTTTTGTTTCAGTGTAATAGCAAATTTAAATTACCCTCAGATCAAGTGGGATTTTGGTTAAATGGCTTGGGGAAAATATGTCTGTTATTAAGATAATTAGCCAGAGTGGAGGTGAATTTATCAATAAGAGGATTGACAGGGAACATCTGTGACTTGGGGAAGAGAAATAGGATGGATGGGGTAAGACAACATCTTAGACTGATTTGTTACTATATTGATATTGCTTGTTGTCTATATATTTATGTCATTCAGACACGCCTTCCTGAAGTGGAAAATCCCTACTCTACCAAGCTGAGATCAATGATAGATCATCTCCAGAACAAGACTCCTTATACCATGAAGGTAAACTATTAAACATTCATTGAGATTCTAAGATGTTTACTGAACTGTCATCAAAACTATTGGGACTGGAAATTCAAATAGTGTTCAACCCTTTCTTAGGGTGCCTCAGAATTAATGTTTTCACCTCACTTTAACTGCCATGGCTCAATGCTATGGAAGTGTAGGAGGAGGAGATTGGCAAGGCTATAGCATCCATTGGCAGAGAAAGCTAAAGATCTTGTAAAACAACCCAAGATTCCATAGCATTAAGCCATGGCAGCTAAAGTGGTGTCGAACTGCATTAATTCAACAGTGTAGATTTGCCCCCATTGGGGTCATGCCAGTCTCATGGCAGTATTTTCAAATTTTGTTCACACCTAACCCACAATTTTTCTCCTTTTCAGATCCTGATTGTGAAGCAAAGGGAACAGCCAGAGATGGCTTTCAAACAGTTCTTGGTTGAAGATAAGAATATTTATGGAGGAGCTTCTTATGTGGATTTCTTATGTTGTGTTCATAAAGAGATCTGTCAATTGCTTAATTAATGGATGCCTGTATACTAATTATTTCTGTTTGTTAAGAGGGAGTATGCTTAAGTGACCAAACCACCACAAGGTGCTTTTTAATGCTACCATTTTGTACAGTTTCTAATTTCATATCCTTGTGCCCTTTTTCATAAATGTAGGTGGCTACATTATAATGTAGAATAGGCAACTCTGCGCTCAGGTATAACTCCTATGGGGGAGCCTTTACTGTTCTTTAAAAGGATAGTTTCTTATGACAAGATTTGAATCCTGGAATCTGTCAAAGCTTAAAGCATGTGGTTTTCATTCCATAAATTTTAATAAACAGCAAAGCATAATTATGTATGACTTTTCCTACTTATAAACTCTGGAGGGTTGGTTTATGAATGGTTTCTTTTGTTGGAGCACTTAAGGAATTGTTCTTATTGCTTGATGACCTCTGATGTACTATAGCAGGAATATGGAATCTCTGGAAATCCAAATGCTGTTGAAATTTCCATCAGCCACAATGAACAACAGCAAGAATTGCAATCCAACTTCTGGAGGAGCAGTTTCCTGATATCCAAACAATCACAAAGTTGACCAACCTTTCCTCTGAATAAACACTCTAAGGACTTTGGGCTTTTTTTAATTACAGAAAAGATAATTGTAATGCATAGGACAGCAGCCACTGTAATTATCTCCACATCACCAAGAGATTCTTCTAGCAACACTGAAACTGATTTACTCAATGGCTTCTAAATGACATTGATCTTCAGAGTGATCTAGTAGAACTAGTCCTCTTCACTGAACTGTAAGCCTATTGATGCATATCATCTAAGACTCAGATGATTTTGAACTGTGATTCCCATCAGTCTTAGACAGCACTGCCAATAATGAAGGAAGCTGGAAATTGCATTCCAACATTTGGAGCATTGCAAGATACCCTACCTGCAGTAAAACAATAGTTCTCAGCCCCTGAATATTGGACCTCGTGGAAGCTATGTTGGACCTCGTGGAAGTTAAAATTCAAACCTATGGTATCACAAATTGTACTCTAAACCATGCAATACAAACTCTACACAAAGGTTCTTTTACTACCACCTTTTTATACTGGTGCACTTTCATGAAACATTTGTCAGGTAAGACCAAGATCTATCTAGCCTAGTGTTTCCCAGCCTTTTTTTCCTCCAGGTGTTAGGGACTTCCGCTTCCAGAAACCCCAGCCAGTTTGGTCAACTATCAGGAATTCTGGGAAATGAAGTGCAAAACACTTGCAGGACTAAAGGTTAGAAACCACTGATCTACCCTACCATATTACTTTCAACAATCAGTGGCACAAAATATGAAGGGGCAACAAATAATCTTTTTCTATTTACCACCACTATCTAGTATGGAATTTGTATTGCTATTGGTAAATTATCCAACTGGATCTTCAAAAAGATACTAAAGGAAGTGATTTGTCTTTACATGCAGCAAGTGCAAGAAGATGTTCTCCTCTCCTTCACCAAATCCTTGATGTTATTCCTAGGGCCCTTCCACACAATCATATAATCCAGAATATCAAGGCAGAAAATTCCACAACAAATGGGTTCCCCCCCCCTCCCAATATCGTCCATTTCAGTACCCTGAACACCATTATCTGGTGTGTGTGATCCATGAATTATGGTCACATGGCACACAGACAAATCCTTGGGACAAAAGGACCCTTGGAAATGAAACAGGTTACCACAAAGTTAGAATTTTATTCCTATGCCACTAGGTGGAACCACTAACCAAATTTAAGCAACTGTTTCTTTGAGCTACCTGCTATGATCCTAAGCTTCCTGTCTCAATTAACTGTGGTCAAGGAGATCCAAGGAGCTCTTGTATAATTTAGACAATAGGTTACTGGGGAAAATGTTTGCCCTTTTCCCAGTGAGTGTCAGGTGTTAGGAATTTCTGAAGTGGAGAAATAGAGTTTGGCACATTGTATAATAGCAAATTCTCAGTAATTGCACAAGATAGACGCGGTATATCACAAACTCATGACTAGTTGTAACTTTTTGGCTTATGAAACATTCTGTGGAGAGGTTACTTAGTTACTGTCAATCTGTGATAAGAACTGAGAAACTATTTTGTTTTTGTTTCTTTTATACATGTTCTACATTGCTAAATCTGAGACAAAATTAAGATGAAAATATATACCTTTTGAGCTTCAAGTAAAAAAAAATCATTCCAGGAGAATGTTTAAACATTCAGAACACTGTTAGAGCAGAGACCCTGTAGAGCACAAGACAAGAAATGCCAGGGTCTTCTGTGATGAGCAAATGCCTATGCCAAATATGAGCTAGTCAAGACCATGGAATAATCTTATATCGTAAGTACATGAGTTGCCACACTTTCATTAAGTAATATTTGTAGCAGTTTTCAACTGCAATGGGCAGACAACGCTGCAGTACTAACATATCAGGTAGGTAATGATGCTTCACCTGTTGCGATGTTTTGTTTTCAAATCAACACTCCTAAAATACTGCACAAATTTAGTTCCCATCTCACATCCCGACTTATTCAGCCAAAGAAAATAATCCTTAGGGTGTTACATGACGTACTCTAGAGTACTGATACTGAACACGAGTGTACGCCTGATATAAGCACTTATATATATGGCTGATTATAACATGCCCTATAATATTGGGGGGGGGGGGGATAGACAACATGCAGGAAGATGGCTCTGAAATAATACCAAAAAACTACATACAGCAGTTACACGTAGGTTGATACTCTATTTATAGCATTCTTTTAGTTCTTGAATGACTTGAAAAGCTTTGCAACCTTGCCTTATAATAAATCAAGCTAAAACTAATTATTCAACACTAACATTCAATTTGCTGTATATCATAAATTCTTAAGCATTGTTCTAAAAAAACACTGTTTTTTAAAAAACTTCTAAAATTACTTTACATATTGTTAGTATACTAATTGGAGAGTTTCAAAGAGCTTAATCATAAGTAAAACTCTCATCAGCCTCCTTTTACTGTACTATCATCAACAGATAACCAAAAACATGAATAATGTACAAATAGTAATCGATTCTTACAGCAAAACTAGAAACATTTAAAGCAGAAGTTGGAAAGTGAAAACCAAGAACCTTAAGAAAATATTTCTCTTTCTGAATTAAAACAAAAGCACATATCCAGAAAAAAGGATTTTTATCAAAACAGTAAAATAAATTCCATTGTTTTCACTTAAAAAGACATTTTCAAAGTTTGTTTTCAAGGAAAAGATCTGGACCTTAAACTTAATTCTTACAACATCCAATGTCTATTGACTGGATACAAATAATGACACCAAACTCTCTACAGGGATATTATCTGCGCCAAAAAATCCACTCTTCCTCCTATTGATATTTACATTGGAAAATAGCATTTCACTATAATAATGGCAAATAGGCTTGGTTTTTTCAAGCAGCATTTTAGCCAAAGTTAAATGACAAAGCTGCACTCTCTGGGAGGGATCCACAGGATTTGTCAAAATCTCCCTTCTAAAGGTGGAAAGGGGATTTATATAGTGAGGGACTAACAAATCTTTTTCATTTTGTTGCATTTACTCCAGTTGGGTGTAACAACTGATTTAACTCTAGGCAAACAATATGTTGCTATACAGACATATAGAAATACTCATAGCAGTCTTGTTCTTTGCTTTCCACGTATCATTAACCAGCCTTTAAAAAATAGTTCATTATCAGAATTTTGATGATAATCGTACAACATCAGAGGACTCCCTCTTTACACAGCCCAAATTAACACCAGCTCCACCAGCTGTTCCAGTTTCCATGCGCCGGCAGCCTGGGCAAAACGAGTCAACTGGGCAAAACTCCAAGACTCCGGCAGCAAGTTTGCAGCCAATACCTGTTCCAAAGGGAGTGAGCAATTATTGAAACATCATGGACAAACCTGCAGCGTCAAAGCAGCGTCAAGAGCCAGAGACCAAGCCGAAAGAGAGACCAGTTCCACCATCTACAACAGGTCCAAAGTGGATAACATCGTATTATAGAACCATCTATAGAGAAGCTACAACATCAAAGCAGGCTCCAGAGCCAGAAAGAGCAATACCATCAACCTCACTACCTCTGAGGATGCTTGCCATAGATGCAGGCGAGTCAACTGGGCAAAACTCCAAGACTCCGGCAGCAAGTTTGCAGCCAATACCTGTTCCAAAGGGAGTGAGCAATTATCGAAACATCATGGACAAACCTGCAGCGTCAAAGCAGCGTCAAGAGCCAGAGACCAAGCCGAAAGAGAGACCAGTTCCACCATCTACAACAGGTCCAAAGTGGATAACATCGTATTATAGAACCATCTATAGAGAAGCTACAACATCAAAGCAGGCTCCAGAGCCAGAAAGAGCAATACCATCAACCTCACTACCTCTGAGGATGCTTGCCATAGATGCAGGCGAGTCAACTGGGCAAAACTCCAAGACTCCGGCAGCAAGTTTGCAGCCAATACCTGTTCCAAAGGGAGTGAGCAATTATCGAAACATCATGGACAAACCTGCAGCGTCAAAGCAGCGTCAAGAGCCAGAGACCAAGCCGAAAGAGAGACCAGTTCCACCATCTACAACAGGTCCAAAGTGGATAACATCGTATTATAGAACCATCTATAGAGAAGCTACAACATCAAAGCAGGCTCCAGAGCCAGAAAGAGCAATACCATCAACCTCACTACCTCTGAGGATGCTTGCCATAGATGCAGGCGAGTCAACTGGGCAAAACTCCAAGACTCCGGCAGCAAGTTTGCAGCCAATACCTGTTCCAAAGGGAGTGAGCAATTATCGAAACATCATGGACAAACCTGCAGCGTCAAAGCAGCGTCAAGAGCCAGAGACCAAGCCGAAAGAGAGACCAGTTCCACCATCTACAACAGGTCCAAAGTGGATAACATCGTATTATAGAACCATCTATAGAGAAGCTACAACATCAAAGCAGGCTCCAGAGCCAGAAAGAGCAATACCATCAACCTCACTACCTCTGAGGATGCTTGCCATAGATGCAGGCGAAACGTCAGGAGAAATGCCTCTAGAACATGGCCCTATAGCCCGAAAAAACCTACAAGAACCTAGTGATTCCAGCCATGAAAGCCTTCGACAACTTTAAAAAATATTTTACACAAATCATTAAAGACATTTAAAATGTAACCCATTTCCTATTATTGCTAGGGGGAAGTGGAGCTGGATGTCATTGGCCCAAAAAGAAAATGTGTCTAGAAAAACCTCCCCTATCTATCACCTTCCAAATGTATTGGGCATCAACTACGACAATCTCCATCCAATACACCACAGGTTAAAGTTGTAGTCCAATAAACCTGAAGTGTGCCAGACTAGGAAGGCTTGTCAGTTGGACAAATGATTAACTGTTGAGTGTTTAGCTCAGTGGTTCTCAACCTGTGGGTCCCCAGATGTTTTGGCCATCAACTCCCAGAACTCTTTACAGCTGGAAACTGACTGGGATTTCTGGGAGTTGTAGGCCCAAACACCTGGGGACCCATAGGTTGAGAACCACTGGTTTAGCTACTATGATTAAAACTTTTAAAGTTTTTAAAAATTAGGAAAATGGAGACCAAATCAGAAGTTCTGAATACTGCTCCTCAAACAGAATGCTGTTCATGTCTAATGACTCTTTAACATTACACAGTTATAGTGCCATGGTTCCACATGTATCCACTTTAATAAGCATGGATACACCCTATGCAATCTTGAGATTTGTAGTTCGTTGAAATGCATGAACTCTCTGGCTAAGAATTCTAAATTGCAAATCCTGAGTTTTCATAGAAAGGATTATAGTTGCTAAAGCGGAATCAAAACATATAACTGTGGAGTGTGAAAGGACTGCAATGGGGCGCATGCATAGTGACTGTTTAAAAAATAATTTGGAAACAATGGTTTAAAAATACAGATAATTGGTAGCATTAAGGCAGGACAACATTGAAAGTGGAATGCGTTCAGCGAGGAGGGAAGCCTCCCCGATGGGCGCCACCCCGTCCACCCCGGAATCCACCCCTTTCCCCCCGGAAATTCGTTCTATTTCTCTCCCTTCCCCTTTCTCCTCGGCCGGCTGAAGTTCCACCTCTTCCCCCACCCCTTGGGGCACCGCCTCCCCGGTCTTTGGGTGGCGGTGATTTAGGTCGGAGTCTCTCAATCTCTTCGGTACAGCCAGTGAGGTGGGAATTTGGAGCAGTGAAGTAAGAAGTGTATGTTTCTGCATTGAAGTTACTGTTGGTCAATGTGGGTCCCACTGTCAGCCAGCCTAAAAGGGGGGGAAAAACAGAAAGCAACTGAGAAAAAAAAACACCCCAGCATTATATGCCTTGATGATTTCCAGATCAGATTCCTATTGTAGTACATAAATTTAGTCAGAGCTTGAAACAAATGTTATTTGAAATCAACTTTTGAAAAATAACTATGAACAAGATTATATTACGATCGTAACTTTATGTGAGATAACTTCACTCCTTTGGTGGTGTAGCTATATTATTTTAGGTACTTTTGCAGTTATGATTGTTATAATTGCCGCAGAAGGATTATAAACTTTTTTCCAGCTCATGCTTGATTGTGGATCTCAGGCCCCTTCTATGATGCCATACAAAATCCAGATTATCTTCTTTGAACTGGATGATATGGTAGTGTAGATTCATATAATCCAGTTCAAAGCAGATTATCAGCTTTGATGATGATTATGATGATGACGACAACAACAACAATTTTATTTTTATACCCCCCCACCATCTCCATGAAAGGACTCGGGGTAGCTTACATATGGGACAGACTGTTCACAAGACATAAAAGCAAAACAGAAACAATAAAATAAAAACATAGTAAAATAAAACAATCCAAATAAAAACACAATTAAATAACACATAAGAAAAATAAAACGGCAGTATTGAAGCAACTGGATTATATGGCATTGTAAAAACAGCCTCAGAGAAAAGTAGACCAGAGGAGAGTGTGCACTGTAGCACACACTAATAGTTTGTACTGCATATCCATATGCTGTTGTTTGTAAGTAAATAGGGCCATTGCTGTTTGGTTCCAGAACCTCCCATAGATACCCATAGATACAAAAATCCAACCTGATGGGAGCCCTTTATATAAAATAAGAAAGTCAAAATTTGCCTTTTTGGATTTTTTTAAAAAAGTATTTCCTAGCTGTGAATGCCTGAATCCATGGAAATGGTGGGCTAACTGTATTATTACATCCAAGAAACATGAAAATGAAGGTTACTTTTAAAACACTTCACTTGGGACCTTGAAATTTTAAGTATAACCAATAGCTTTTACAAGCAATGGTCCACTGCCCTGCATTTCACATTACAAATATTGTAGGAGGAAAAATAAACCCTTGGCAATACAATGCCCATTGCTGAAGCTTCTATAAATCACCACAACAGAACCCACATCTTTAGTTCCTATCTCAGTTTATCTTTTAGTGCACCTAAATATTCAAGTATATGTGTCCCCATCATGTTTTGAATCCACTGAAATAAAAGTGTTGTCTATGAAAGCAAAACTCCAATGAAACAGGAAAACGAATCTGCAACAAACTGCGATAGCTACTCTACCAGAGTCTTCCCCCACCATTCTCTGCACCATTACAGAAATTTTTTCTGTGAAAACTGAAGTGATGATTGAGTAGCAAAACCCAGACAAGCACTGACCTGGTCGGATTGTGCTGTCCCGTCCGAAGAGATGAAGCCGTCTTCTCCCAAGACAAAAATGTTCAATGATATGAAAGATTTCCACTGGTTTCTCTATATTACCAATTTCTGGCTCTTCTGTGATAATTAAGTCAATGTCAACATTTGCGTGGATAAAGTCTCCATCTGTACTACGGCGGACAGTTCCTTTAATACCCATTAGGCAGTGTTCCTATGTAACATAACAACAACAAAGGGTTTGGGAAGCTTATTAACATAAAAAGCCAATGCATTTTATAGAGTAGGCTACACATTAGTAACTGAATGTCAAAGAAAAGCATGTCAAATATTTTGAAGCTTGAGTTAAATAACCAGCTAGAGATTTGAACAAAAAAATTGAAATTTTCTATAGATTTTTGTACTCTAACACAAAGTGGCAGATGAAAGCGAGGAGGAGCAAAGCCTTATAACCAAGGTGAAGGAAGAAAGTGCAGAAACTGGGTTGCAGTTAAACATCAAAAAAGCCAGGATTATGGCAACCAGACTGATTGATAACTGGCAAATAGAGGGAGAAAACACGGAGGCATTGACAAACTTCATATTTCTAGAAACAAAGATTAATGCAGACGCAGACTGCAGTCAGGAAATCAGAAGAAGTTTACTTCTTGGGAGGAGAGCAATGACCAATCTCGATAAAATAGTGAAAAGTAAAGACATTACACTGTCAACAAAGATCTGCATAATTAAAGCAATGGTATTCCCTGTAGTAACCTATGGATGTGAGAACTGGACCATAAAGAAGGCTGAGCGAAGGAAGATAGACGCTTTTGAACTGTGGTGCTGGAGGAAAATTCTGATAGTACCTTGGACCGCAAGAAGATCCAACCAGTCCATACTCCAGGAAATAAAGCTTGACTGCTCACTGGGGGGAAGGATATTAGAGGCAAACATGAAGTACTTTGGCCACATAATAAGAAGACAGGAAAGCTTGGAGAAGATAATGATGCTGGGGAAAATGGAAGGAAAAAGGAAGAGGAGCCCACCAAAGGCAAGATAGATGGATGGGATCCTTGAAATGACTGGCTTGACCTTGAAGGAGCTGGGGGTGGCCACAGCTGACAGGGAGGTCTGGCATAGGCTGGTTCATGAGGTCACGAAGAGTCGGAAATGACTGACTGAATGAATAAACAACAACAAACACACCTAAAAATTACTAAGTAGGTAAAGCATAAAAAAACTTTCAAAAGAGCATGGGTATCCCCAAAAGGCATTTCTGAAAGAGGGGCATCTGTTGCAAGCGATAATTTGATATTTTCTTATATGATGAAATATGATATATCATGTAAAAGAAACATAGTTACATTTAAGTCAGAAATGAAAGTCAACTTAGAGTTAACCAGCACTAGGCTGAGAAGGAAGAAAGGGCCATTGTGTTGGGGCATAAAAAGACAAATTCAGACTATAAACACCAGCCAAACCCCTTTCTCAAAACCCTTCCTCTTAGCCTGGACTTGATAGGCAAAATCTAGTTATTTTTGTGTTCAATATAACTGTTATAGTTTCTATTCGACACAGTTACAATGCACAATTAGATTGAAACGAGCAATTTCCAAAGACTATAAATTGCACATCTTTACAAACTGGAACAGAAGTTCACTGGCATGTGCCTAAGTATCACTACTAACTGATCTGAATAATGCTAAGAACTGTGCTGTGCTTACAAAATGGACGATTTTTGAAAAATAAGATTAAGGTTGAACCAAAGTGGCTGAGAAGGTTTACATGCAGGAAGTCCACATATGTGATGTACAATTACTTGTGGGTTGTAGAGATTACTCTGGTTTTAAATAAAAACAACACCCAAATGAGCAATTGTCTTCAGATCATAAAATGCTGATTTACTGAAGTCACCAGATGGTTTTCACAGTGCTGCAGACATAAATGAATAATCGTTTCCAGATACCTGGCACAAGCACCAATGTTTCCAGCTCTGAAAAACCAGATAAATAAAAATGATCATGAAGTTGACTGTTTGTCACTGATTTATTCCATGTGAAAACTGTGATGAGGAACCACCTGATTTCCAAAGTCAGACCTAGGATGCATTCTTCCTATCCCCATGGACTCCAGGAGTCTCTGTAGAGGCAGCTCCAGGATGGAAGTAGAAGATTAAGGAGGGACATAATACTGAGCTTGATTGAGAAGTGTTTACACATTCATCTCTACAAAGTACCTGCTCTTGAGGGACCTTAACATAGGTGAAGTATTTGAATATGTATGCTTTGTGAATTGAAAAGAACATTTCTTAGCTGGAGCATAAAAGGAGTAAAAGGGCCTTTTGGTCAAAGACATAAATATGAAGAATGAGCATGAGAAGATGTTATATGAAGGTATGTATGGAAATGTTTAGAACAATAGGAAATTGAAAATAGATGTGCCCTGGTGTAAAGAAAGACCCAGGGAGTAAATCAAGAAGGTAACAAACTCATCTATCATTCATCACATGTTTCCTGACTTTTCTAAAAAGTGAGAGAGATTAAACCATTCTTTGGACACTTCTTGATACCATAAGTGAAAGAGAAAGGCCCACTTCAACAAACAATTACAATTCCCATTTAATTGAATAACCAGTTTTTTACAATTGCATTCTGTACACAACTGACTTAAATAAGCTTAGCTATCCAAAACAAAAACAAAAAACCATTATTAATTAACTTTTTTTGTATTTGAAAAAGTACTCTCAATCCCTTACTACATTAAGCATATATTCAAACAAATTTATCAAATCATCTTTCTTCTTCCTCACCCCCCATCTTTTACACTGTTGCAAACTCATTGTAACAGTGTTTTCCTCTGTTATGTGGTAATGAACCTAGGGGCACAACCTTCAGGAAAAGTAATGGAAAAGTATATATCCGAGTATAACCCTAATATTTCAGCGCTTTTTTAGTCTGAAAAAGCCCCCCTTCGGCTTACACTAAGGTGAGGGTCTTGACAGGAAGGTGTGGAGCTGAAAGAAGGACTTCTTTCAGCCCCACACCTTCCTGCCAGGACCCTCATCTCTCCGCACACCAACCCAGCCCTCCTTCCTCTCTTGAGCAACGCACATCTTTCTCTCCTCTCTCGGTGCAGCGTGCACCTTCCTCTCCTCCTCTCTCAGTGCCAATCTTTACCAGTTTTCTTTATTCATATACACATAGCATTTTCCCCAAAATGTATAGTTAAAATAAACTATGGTGATTATTGGAAGGATACGTAAGTACATTTAAATTGAAGAAGGTCAGAATAATGATTTAATCAGAGTTTGACAGTCTTATCTTAAATTATAGTTTTATCTAAATATTAAACAACATTTAACTTACTGATGCTTCAATTAATGTAAATTTATTGGTATCTATTTTTATTTTGAAATTTACCAGTAGCTGCTGCATTTCCCACCCTCAGCTTATACTCGAGTCAATAAGTTTTCTCAGTTTTTCATGGTAAAATTGGGTTTCTCAGCTTATATTCGGCTCAGCCTATACTCAAGTATATACGAGGCATGTATACAAAAGACCTATACACAGTTGCTTCTATTCAAAACTTTTTTTCCTTTAAAAAGGTAACTGTTTGACTTTTCTGAAATGTGTTTTAATGGCACATGGAGAAATGATTCTGTTTCACCATATTTTGTCATAACAGTAGCCTAGTTCTGAATAAACATTAGGATAATCAAATGTAGTGGCAATCCATTTCTTTAAGAGCAATACAAAGGATTTGATGATCTATACAATAAAATACAAGGTCTCAAAATCTTCTTTTCAACATGATTGCTCCATTCTGAAACTGAACTGTCTAAGTAGCCGGCATGGATCTAATAGAAAAGGCACCAGGTCTGTCAAAGAAGAGATCACAATCCCAAACTGCTCTTGAGAAAACTAGAAGACTAGTCTTTATCTTTTCTTGTTAGCAAAATATTTGATTTACATTTCAATGTAGGGATCTTAATTGTTGACAAAATGGAGGTCAATCACATCTCATTGCCAACTATAGCCACAGGTTGGCACAAAGAGAACTATACAAGGCATTCTAACCCTTTTCCATCCCTTCTTTGAAGGGTAAAGAAAAATAAAGTTTTTCCATGATGCTCTACCCAATCTGATCTGCATTTCAATAAGAATGAGTGAATACGCATTCAAAAGTTTCCCAGAACAACTTCAAGTAAGTGTTAGATACAGACAGAAACTCTAAAATTTGCTCAGATGGAACAAAAAATCCAAAAGTGTTAAAACTCAATTATTCATTTCCATTATCATATAAAATTGGGGTTTTTTTAAAAAAGAGAGAGAGAGAGAGAGAGAGAGAGAGAGACAAATTCATCTGTGATTGTTTTCCTAAAACTCCAACAGCTTTGATCAGGAAGAAAGGGTATGCTTTTTTTTTTTTTTACAATGTAAGATAATACAGCAAACAGAAAGAAACTCAGCCAGATATACCTTTGTTCTTTGAAAGACAGCCTTAGGGTCCAGAGTTTTAGTCTTCCCAGGGTTGTTTTTATTGGTTTTGATCCAACAGATATCCTCACATCTTCGATAGCCCCATTTACGCAAGCACTGAAATGTTTTAACACAGTAAGATAAATATTGTGTACTTTACATCAAAATATGAGATCCAGAATTAGACACTTACACTCCTATGATGAAAGAAGACCTTTCTGCACTTCATCCCAATAGAAGCTTCTCCAGTTCCACAAAATATTGAAGAGAGTCTAGTTTGAGGGGAGGGGGTGTGTCTATATACTGTAAACTGTGATGACCCTAAACATATATTATTTACACCACAATCTTACACAAGCTTATATCATTTTTTTAAAGTGCATTTAATGGGGCTTATTCTTTTTTAAGTGTATATGGTAAGGTTTTTTTTTTTTTGTTTTTTAAAATTGTATGAAACAAAAACAAAAGTTTCAGATTAAAGATTTGTACAGGTGAGAGTAACTGCAGATTTAAGTGGGAAAATGTGTGGATTTATTTAACTGCAGTCTCATTTTTTTTGGGGGGGGGAATGTCATAAATCCAGTAAATCAAATGAGTAGATAACTGGGACACCAAGGTCTCATTTCACAGAATCACAACAATTTGTCATTACAAGACTCCATGGGCCTGGAGTCTTACAAAACCTATACTTACAAAAAACAAGCCATACTTTCCCAGCTGGACTATGGTGAGGTGAAACAGTGAATATGACCATCAGCCATTAAATCACATCACTTCTGGTCCCAGCATACTATAGAGTTGCCTTGAGGATCTAAAGACTCCTTGAGATGTATTATCTCTAAGAATTTGCTAGACTCTCTAATACAACTCTAAAGGAATTTCCAGGGGAAAAATACCATAGATGTACAGAATCATCTTACCACTCTGCCAAGATCCAGACCCTCCCCAGAACCACACCACAGAAAGACAAATGATCGCGGAGCAGCAAGTTCTTCAATGTCTAGCTTCATAATCTAAAAACAGGGAAGAAAAAGCCACCAGATTATGGTCTGATCATGGAAAACAGCATGGTCAACTGATTAGAACTTGAATAGGGGATTGCCGATAAATACCCTAAGAATTCATTAAGTTGCCATGAATTCTGAGTCCCTCCAGGGAGATAAAGTGGAATATAAATAAAGTGTATTTATTTATAAGTCAACAGTTAATTTGAAGATACACACAAAAAACTTCTTCTTCTTGTTATTATTATTGTTGTTGTTAATGTTATTATTATTATATCCTGCTTTATCTTCCCAAAGGGGGACTCAAAGCAGCTTGACAGAGAAGCATTAATATACAATTTTAAATATACAAGTATACAAACATTAAAACAGAATTAAGTACAAATAGCGCTGAAAAACTCAGTTAAAAACCATCAAAACACATTCAAGGTTAAAAACCACATACCCCCTGACTAGAACTTAAATATCATTTTTTAAAAGCCTGTATGAATAAGAAGGTTTTAGCCTACCGCCAGAAGGACAGAAGGGAGGGAACCATTCTGGCTTCCCTGTGAAAGGAGTTCCAGAGTTGTGGGGCAGTCACCAAGAAGGCCTTCTCTCTTGTTCCCATCAACCAAGCTTGAGATGAAAGTGGGACTGAAAGAAGGGTCTATACCAGTGGTTCTCAGCCTGTGAGTCCCCAAGTGTTTTGGCCTACAACTCCCAGAAATCCCAACCGGTTTACCAGCTGTTAGGATTTCTGGGAGTCAAAGGCCAAAACATCTGGAGACCTACAGGTTGAGAACCACTGGTCTATACTAAACATAATTAAGTATAGGGCAAAAGACAACTTCATAAGTCAAATTATGACTACATTTAGCTCAGCATTTATGATGATTGGTAGCAGGTGTCCAGATTTTTAGAGAGAGATGTTTCCTAACCCAGTCTGAGACTGAATCTAAGATCTCCAGCATACAAATTACACACTTTATCCCAACTGGATTTCCATTTGTAAAATACTATCAGCATCTTTAATGTAGCAAAGGGACAACACAAACAAGTCGCATTATTGCTTACCAATTCTTAAACCTCAATATTTGTCACTAATAGAAAGAAGCCTATTTTCAGGAAAATGGAAGTCTGTAGAACCACATGAGGGGTAACTAGGCAATCATGCTCATGTTCTCAGTGGGTTCAGAATGGTGCAAGACCAAGAAAATATGAACTGTATTATTTTAAAATTAAATCATGAATGGCAACAGCATGTTCATTTTTAAGGCCTAGATAGATAACAGTATTCTCAGACAAGGTTCATCCTTCTCTACCGTGAACTCACATCATCCCAAGTCCAGCATTTCTCATTAGCTGTAATTCCAGTCTCCCTGTAGTATTCTTCTAAAGGTGGCTCCATAAGAATCACATCAAACTTGAACTTGAGTTCACGAAGATCAAAAGCTTCCAAGTCAGCTTGCAGATACCTATGCACAAAAATTTGGGAGGGGGGAGGGGAGGATATTCTCAGTTCATGAGTTCTAAGTGTTCAGTACCTAGGAGGGATGTGGATCTTGTACAACTTGCACATTTTAGGCAAAACATCTATTCACACATTAAAACACCAGACTTTGTGAGAATATAGTTCCTGGAATAAACTAATAGCAATGCACAGTATTCTGAACCTGACTGGAACTACTTCAGATATGCAAAATAATCCTTGGCATTGTTTACCAGCACACATTTTACTAAACAGGATCTGAAGTTTGAAAGCTCAACAAGGCAACAGTATCTAACTGAAAATCTAAAAAACTGATACAAAATAAATAAATAGTGGTTCTGGTGAAATAAATAGCATGGTAGCAGTGCTTTGAAATCACCATAATTATATTCCATTTAAATGTCCATTTTCTAGTTTTAACCCATTCAACAAGAGACCTTTTGTTCCAGGAACTTTTGCACCAAAAACTGATGACTAAGAACAAGCTAGATTTTTTTTTAAGTAGCAGTATAATAATAAAGAATTACTATAGATCATTAACAAACTAACCTGGTCTTCTCTCCTATTAGTTCTTATGTATCAGTTTTAAGTAAGACTGTTTGCCTTAACTCATCTCCAAAGAGGAAACTTCAAGAACAATCACAGTCCGATGACAAAATCTCACGCTAAGCATCTCAGTTAATCCTCCAAATCAAGTGACAAAAACAAAATGGATGCATTTCTTTGAAGTTCAAATTGCTATTTTATAAACACAGACCCAAAAATAAAACATGCAAATCCTAAACAGGTGGTAAAAGAAAGGATCTTAGTTAGCAGGCAGCTAATGTTGAGCCAGTCTGTAGAAAAGAATCCAGCCCATTAAATGAACTTACATTGGAGGCGTGTTGGATTTAGATATTAGCTCATCCTTCAACCTAATGAGCTCCCGAAGCTTCGGATATTCTTCAAATCTATCTGCTAAGCCTAATAGGAAAACATGCCACTGTTATAATATTACATGGAACTTTGATAAACCAGCGGTAACAAGGAAAGAGTTCTGAATGAATTATGTCTTTTTATTACACAGGTAGTTAATAACATTATTTAGTCAAAGAAATTATAAGCGTGTTTTGTTAGCGGTTTCTAGAGCTAGCACATGGCAATCTTTTTTTAAAAATAGTTCCAGTGAGAGAAGTTACATCACACCATGTAAAGTTTTCATGGATAAATATGATGTATGGTTTGAATGGAATTGTATGAAAGGTGAATGGATAAGAGCTAATAATTTTGAAGACACCATTCTGAAGATTGAAGCCTGAAAAACTACAAGGAGGAGGTGAAGAATTCACGGATTGTATTAAAAATTCCTGATGAGAACTGTGACAAATGATTCAATGTTGGCCTTTTAGGGAAAACAATGTGTTTACGTTATCAGAGACAATGGCTCTTTAAGTTAAGGAAACGTTTACAACATCTCTTACATTAAGAAGGAAGTCAACACAAGGCTTATGTTTACCAACACCAATTATGCAAAGTCAACATCTGCCAATAAACGGATATCAAGCCAGGATGCTTTTGGCTGGAAAAACATCTATCATTCATTTACCACTTTTGAACAACATCAGCACGAAAACTGCTATAAAAGAGACCTTATTACAGTCTAAAAATTGTGACAGACAGCGGTGCTGTTCACCTGCTATGCACTGCTCCTTTGGAAGGAGAGAGCTAGTGTATGTATTTGGGAGTGGCAGATCTGCAATGGAACGCAGTCTGGTCACTTGCTTCCTTTTCTCAAGGGAAGAGAAAGAAGTGTGATTTTGGAGTCATTATATGTTTGCATGGAGTCAGTTTCCGCTATAGAGATCGGATCCTTGGCATTGTTCTTAGGGAAAGAGGATGCATTTTGAAGTTTTTGAAGTATTTGAAAACTGGCAGATTTGCAAGGAAGCAGTCTGGCCTAAGAGATGTTCTTCTCCAGGAGACAGTGAGAGAAATGGTGATGAATGCATGAGAATTAATGTTTGTATGGGTAATGTAAATGCTGAGAAAAAATGTAATTCCCCTTTGATTGTTTGTTAGACAATGTAACTGTGGGTTCGTTGTGAATTCAATGTAGTTAAACAGAATCTGTATGTTTGTATTTCCAATGTTGTTCTTTTTGTAAAAGTTCTGATACCCTTTCTCTTACTGGAAAATTGCAATAAAAAGAATCTATGCTTTAAATTTATTGAATGTGTGTGTGTGTGTGTGTGTGTGTGTGTGTATATATCTTAAAATATAATTATTTAAATTGTTTTGAGTAATGTTTATTTGGATGTAAGTATTGCTAGGAAAGTCATTTAAAAATACATTTTTTAAAAAAAAAACCAGTTTTTTCCTGGTTTGGTGTGTGCTTGTCTGTCTTAGAAGAGTAAGAAAGCAGTGACCAATCTGACAGCCTTCTAGGATATTTAGAAGAATCTGAGTTTTCATACAACCAAAAATATGATAAAAAAATTCAAGCACTTTCAAGTATGCTAGAGTGAAGGGCGGAATATAAATGTTTTAAATAAATAAATAATAAATAAACTCATGCTATCATTTAATTAAGGAACAACTATGGGAAAGGAATTAAGCAGCTTTGTTAACTTTTCACACTCACTATCATAATCCAAAGTTTAAAAAGACTATTGTAGCATTAGCAACCTCTGAACATCTTGCAACATTTGAAATGTAATATTCTCAAAATGAATATTCAGAACACCTTTTGCCACATCTGATTAAGCATTCACTATTTTAAGAGGCAAAGGACTGTATTGATTTTCTGAACATAATGGTTTTGGAGGAACAAAAAATGCTATGTCTATTATACAGTAGCATGTCATAAAAGAACAGGAAGAACAATACTAAAAAATCAGAAAAACTGGCACTAACTTTGCTAGGGCACAGGACAAAATTGAAAACCAATGGCTAGACAATGCTTTAATTATGATCTAACAGAAATGCACGAAGTTGCGGGGAAGTTTTTGAGTCTTCCTAATTGTTTCATTAAGTGTTACAAAAACAAAGAGGGGAAAAACTCAACACAACTAAATATATATGTCATTCCAAAGGCACCACTAAGTAAACTTTGAAACATCTGGTCAGCCTCTTGGGATAAAAATGTATAGAATACAACCCACATAGAGCAAACAAAATTGTTAATTGACATGTTTTAGTCTGACATACCCACATCTCTGATGAAGTTCTGAGGTCTGTGCCCAGTATCCACAAAGTGCTGGCAATAATCATTGTGAGGATTTAAGCTTTGGGTTCCCTATGTAAGGGAAAAAATGCCAAAAATAAATAGTAAGATGAGGCAACTAGCTCTCATGCATATAATGTTCTGAAAGGTGGAAGATCCCCATTCTACACACTACCACTAATCTCTTATCCCAACCCTTCTATAAGGAGGTCCCTAACTGCATAAGAAGTCCACATATCCCTTTTTCATATTGTTTTTAGTTTGCATACTCCAAATATTCTAATAAGGTTACAACCTGAGAAGCAGATGGGGCCAATAAGCAAAACAAGCATTTTACAGTTTGCTGGCTTCAAAATGCTACTGCCTTATTGTGGAGTGCTGCAACTTTGGTATTTGAGGTTGTCTGCAATGCTTAAAAGTAATTAAAAAAATAAATTGCTGTAAAGTGATCTCTATGGAGAAGCTTTTGTTAATCCAAGAGAATATCCGGACCCTAAATTTGTATTTACAGTTACTTTGGGGACAATAAGGAAGGAAATACAAGACCACTACATGGAGGCACACAAATTGATTACCTTAAGGAAAGTACTGGAGTCCTTGTAAATTTCCTCCTCATACGGCAGGTTTTCTTCATCTTGTTGCAGCTCTACTTCATCCTTTCGAATAAAGCACGGTTTATATGCATGTAGGGACAATGTGCTGCTCTTCCCATTAGCATTTCGCTTTTTTAATGAAGGAAGAAGAGGGCTGTCTATGAACATTAGCCTCTTGCAACAGCAGATCATCAACATTTCCAATGCCAGTTTGAGAAAGAAGAACAAAATCTGATGCCCTTTCTTGTCATCACTGTAACTACTAAACCAGTTAGATTATACATTGATGCTTTGAAAATGACCAAAAGATCAAAACAACTTTTGATTCATTCTATTACAAATGTCATGGTTTTGTCCCAAAACTTTAAAGTGAATTAGCAAGGTTCTGTATATAGCCAGAAAACAAAAGTCTGCAGATATAAAACTCTTGGAGTTTAATTATGGTTCTCTGAGGCCCCTTCCACTGTCCCTATATCCCAGGATCTGATCCCAAATTATCTTCTTATCCCAGATTATCTGGCAGTGGAGACTCATATAAACCAGTTTAGATCAGATAATCTGGGATCAGATTCTGGGTTGCAGGACAGTGTAGAAGGGACCTAAGTGTATGGTAAGTCACTCTCCAGGAAACAAGGACACTTGAAGAAGTGATGGGGAAAAACATGGCTGAGGAATGGAGAAGGAATTCCCTCGCTAGCAGAAAAGAAGCAGGTCATTCCCAGAAACTTGTGTGTTCTCCCCAGACCCTGATTAATCCTGACACGAGAAGCATAAAACCATGTTTGTGAGGCAGGAATCTTCTATGGAAACTCAGCAAGTGGTGACTGAAAGAAACAACTATTCAACTCTCACTCCTGAAGCATCCACATTGAGATATGCCACTTGCCTACCATCAGCTTTTTTTTAAGTCCAAGAGGACTTCAGTGCATTGAACAGCTTTTAGAGTTTTCTGGATCCAAAGTTTGGAATAGGGCTAGGCAAAGTGCAGCTTCAGGCTACATTTACCTGGGGCTCCAACATATGGCTTTGGAAGCCCCAAAAAGGCCACATGGCCTCTAAATTTTTTTCCAGATAATATGTTGTTTCCTTTCTCTAAACAGCTGAAATTTACTGCAAAACACAGGCATGTTGATTTCCCAGCTGTTCCACGTAACATAAACATTTGTCACAATTTCCCAAATTTAAGCAATGTTGCTTTTGCTATTAATTCAATTTGATTTTCAGCTGATTTGGAAGGGTCCAACCAGGTTTCTAAAATATGAAGGGATGGTGGAGCAAACCCACCAAGGATGAGAATACTTTGACCCACTTGAAAGAGGCTGTGGGAAAATCACTCTGGAAATTTTAAAAACTATTTTGGGGATGAATAAATTGCTGCACTATGAAGGAAGACAGAGACAAAATTTGTACCCACCTCCTTCAAAACCACTTTAAAAGTTGTCGTTACACCCAGACACTATCAGTGATTCACGAGAATTAACACCATTATTCCCACACCCTGGGAAAGGAAATGGCTGAAGCAGAACATCAACCATAAGGCAGAATATAAAGAGACAAAGCAAAGTATCCATGTTTACAAAGGGCTTAAGCTCAAATGTTTTCAAATACTCTGAAGGAACAGAACTTTTTCTAGTGGAATACTTCCATTAGTTTATTAAAAACGTGCTTTAAAATAGGCATTTGAGCCCCTGCAATAAAACAGGCCTGGAAAATTGAGGGTCATAAAAATATTTTTAAAAACATATGCTGATTTTATGGGAATTTGGTGTTTCAAATCTAAAAATGACCTCTCTACCATGTACGGTTTTTTCACAAGTTGCTTTGATGTTTTTTATGTTGTAATATGTCAGAGAATGGAATGTATCCTGCAAAAATTTATCCTTCAAAGAAGAAAGGGGTTAAAGTCTTCTAATAGACTTTAAAAGCACTAATACATTGCTATGGGGAAAAACTATTCAAAAGAACAGAAATTGTACAGGAACATTAGAACCCATACTTAATAAAAGCTGAATAACAACAACCGAATTGGTAAAAATACTGAATTTGTGAAAGAACTATGTATGATATATTGTTTGTTTTTTTAAAAAAAAACAAACAAAACAGTCAGCACCATACACACACACACACATATGACAGTCCCCAAATTACGAACAAAATAGGTTCAGTTACATGCAAGCTTTGGATAACTTAGGGAAGGGTTAACACCCTATGGTTTCTTTTGTTTGTGTCCCTGTTCAGAAGATTTCCCCTCACTTTCTGTCCCTGTGACAATTGAATTTTGAGAAAAAAAATGGCTTCTTGTGGAAACAGGGATTGCTGAGAAAGCTTTAGTGGACTTCACTCACTTCCTGTTGTCTCACCCTCATTTGTAACTATGAGTCGTTTGCATGTCGGATGTTTGTAACTGCCTGGATATATATATATAGAGGGGAGGGAGGACAGAGAGAGGACAGAGAGAGAGAGAGAGACCCCTTCTACACTGGATTATGRGAGTCTACACTGCCATATAATACAGTTCAAAGCAGATAATCTGGATTTTATATGGAAGTGTAGAAGCGGGGGGGGGGGGGAAGCACTGTACTGAAAAGGATTTTTCATCACAGGCCAAAGTAACTCTCTTTTCTTCCATTGCGGGTTGAACGACACAAGTATTCCATATTTATTATGTAGGCTGCTTTCGACTTCTGGATATTACTGCAGGAACAGTGAGGTTTCAGACCAATCTAAATAGCAATGGATGCTAATGTGCAAAGTTTTAAAGGAGCGTCTTGAAAATGAGATAGGGAAAAGTTAGTGAGACATATATGAGGCAGACCAGCAGAGGGTGCACACACCTCTCTGGATCTTAACTAGTGCTCCGTTTATATTCCACAATACAGGCAGTCCCTGGGGCCCCTTCTACACTTCCATATAATCCAGATTATCAAAGCAGATAATCCACATTATTTGCTTTGAACTGGATTATATGAGTCTACGCTACCATATAATCCAGTTCAAAGTAGATAATCTGGATATTATATGGCAGTGTAGAAGGGGTATGAGCTACAAACAACCGAGTTACAAACATCCAACTTACAAATAACTCATAGTTAAAAACAAGGGTGAAACAACAGGAAGTGAGATAAACCTATCCCTTGAAAGAGAAATTCACTCCTGAAAGAGTGGATTTGGCTGCAGTTACACTTAAAAATGTACAAATTTAGCTTAATAATAAACCTACAGAACCTTTTTGTTCTTATCTTGGGGACTGCCTTTATTATTGCTACCCTGGTTTTCTCTGACTTTTTGTACATTTCTGAACAAGATGGTATCATACTGGCTAAGGCCCTTATGACATGTAGTAACATTCACCAAAATGAAGAGATACTGGCTTCACTGGAAATGCAAGGTAAGTGCTTAGAAGCTCTCTCCCTGGATACTTAGCAGTGGAGCGCAATGTTAATGCACCAAATCTTTCTTCATTGGATGGTCATAAATGGAAATCTCAGACCAAATTTAGTATCAAAAGAATAGTTCATTAAGTTTTTAAATCCACTGAACTCTGTATTTTCGACTGGATTATTAAAGATATTGCTAAGATATTTCAAATTTAGTTGCCTTATTTATAGGGATGTACTTTGAGCTGTAGTCCAACACTATTGCTTGTCATATAACTCCATTTGGAAATAACAATGCCATATGCTTCATTTGATACCTTTTGAGCTAATGTCCTATACAACATATTTTCATATAATTCCATTTGAGAGCGTCAGAGCCATAAGCTTCACTTGCTAAAAGACATTATTTCACTGTTCCTTTACCTTATATTCTTCTATTTCCTCTTCGTCTGCTTCTCCTTCATCTGGGTATTTGCGTTTGGCATTTGATGCAGACGTATCATAAGCAGCCCTGAAAATGTGAAGAAGAGAGAGTGTACTGGCCTATGAGAGCAGTTTATGAACACAATGATTTGAAAGGATGTTTCGCTTGGGTCTACATTTCTTCTGTAATTATTCCTCTCTTGCTTACATTGGTGCCACCCTTTTTTCCATGGTACATGCCTTTTTAAAAAAACAAACAAACACTAGACAACCCAATCAGAGCTGTACACAAGGGAAACAGGGGATAGAGTTTTTTTTGTTCCTTTAACTGTGCTGGTTTCTGTACATCTATGTTGTACATCTACACAAGAGGAGAGGGAAGCAGCAACCAAAGGTTTTGTCTTCTTACATTACCCATAACATATCCTGAGCTGGGAAAATGTATAAGCTGACCCTTTCTGAATAATAATGTACCATTGATTGCTTTAAATATATCCTGCATTAAGATAATTACATAATAGAAATGTATATCTTTCAACATTCTAAAATAAATTCCACATGGTATAAAAGAAATGCAGTCAATTAGTGTTGATATTAAATTTCTGTTCTGTCTTTACACAAAAATAATGTGCAAGACAGCAAACAACAACACTAAAAACAAGTTACAGAACTAATTAGGGCACCTAATATATTTGTAAATAATTCAGAGATGCTAAGTGATGAACATTTTAACTATCACCCATATCCTTCCCATTTTGTCAACAAACTTAAGGACAGAGGCGCCTTCCACACAGCTGAATAAAAGCTCACATTATCTGCTTTGAACTGGAATATATGAGAGTGGGCTCAGATAACCCAGCTCAAATCAGCGTGGGGTTTTCTGCCTTGATATTTTGGGTTATATGGCTGTGGAAGGGTCCTGAGAAGAGACAAACATTTTATGTTTCAACTCTTTCCTCCCTACAATGGGGGAAAAGAGTTCAACTTTTCCTAAACCAGTCAAAAACAAAATAAATTCATGCTAATTTGTATTCTTTCCATCTTCTCTCCCTTGAGAATACTACTGTTATGGGAAGTTTCACAACTTATTTCAGTACAAACCTGGAAGTTTCTCTTGTTTCAGCAATCTCTCTCTGCTCATCTTTGCTATTCAACACTGCACCAATACTATCAGCACTTTCGGCCCCCAACTAAGAGAAAAGCAAAAAAAACCCCAAAAAAACCCAAATAAATAAATAAATACTATTACTATAGAAACAAATAAGAGAAGCTTTAATACGAACATTACATACCTAAAACCTTTATAATATAAATTTATCATAATTTCCCATTCTCCTTGTGAGAAATCCAATGAAATGTTTCTGCAGATGTTAATACTCTCATCAGTGAAATCCATGTGTGCCTGTTTTCCTAATAATAATAATAATAATAATAATAATAATACTTTATTTATACCCCACCACCATTTCCCCAAAGGGACTTGGGGAGGCTCACAAAAGCATTCAAAAGTACAAGCATATAAATACAACAAGGTACATAAACAAAATAACATAATAACAATAAAGTCCACGTAAGGGAAATTAAGCAACAGGACGAATGTTGTATTTATACCCAAAGCAACTCTGCTGATCTCAGTCAAGGATTCCATACAGCAGCCATAGTAACAAAAATGTGGAGCCCCCCCCCCTCCCATGGTACAATGGGTTAAACCCTTGTACTGGCAGGGCTGCTGACCGAAAGGTCAGCGGTTCAGATCCAGGGAGCGGGGTGAGCTCCCATCTGTCAGCTCTAGCTTCTCTTGCAGAGACATGAGAGAAGCCTCCCACAGGATGGTAAAATATCCGGGTTTCCCCCGGGCAACGTCCTTACAGACGGCCAATTCTCTCAGACCAGAAGTGAGTTGCTGTTTCTCAAGTTGCCACCGATATGAAAAAAGTAATAAAAATAACTCTGTATACCAGTGTCAACCATGTTCACTTCAATAATTTCTGTCCTCAAGTGTAAAAGTAGGCCAGGACCATGCCTACAGCAGAGATAAGAAGCAAATGTTAGGAGAACAGCCCCCATGTTAAAGCAAGGTAATAAGTCTGGCAGGTAACTTAGAATAACATCACTGAATTCAACTAATGCCCAATGCCTGGTATAATGGTATTGCTTACAAAGCTTGGTGCTCAAGTATCATAGAATCATAGAGTTGGAAGAGACCTCGTGGGTCATCCAGTCCAACCCCCTGCCAAGGACAATCAGGTTCAAAGCAGCCCCAATAGATGGCCATCCAGCTTCTGTTTAATATCCTCCATAGAAGGAGCCTCCACCATCAGAAGACTTCATTGGAATTGTACAAATGTGAATTAAAGGGTGGAAAATAGAAGCTAGTATATTAGACTGACAGGGAAGTAATTGATAGAAGTCAATTTGGGCAGAGAAAGGGAATGAGATAATGCAATTTTTTAGACTGTGGTGAATTACTATATTATTTGTAGTATAGGTAAAGGTAAAGGCTTTCCCCTGACAGTAAGTCCAGTCGTGTCCAACTCGGGGGCGTGGTGCTCATCTCCATTTCTATGCCGAAGAGCCGGCGTTGTCCGTAGACACCTCCAAGGTCATGTGGCCGGCATGACTGCATGGAGTGTTTAAGTTTTTTTTTGTCGTGTCAGGAGTGACTCCTGGTGTGAGAGAATTGGCCGTTTGCAAGGACGTTGCCCAGGGGACGCCTGGATGATTTGATGTTTTTATCATCCTTGTGGGAGGCTTCTCTCATGTCCCTGCATGAGGAGCTGGAGCTGATAGGGGGGAGCTCATTTATTTATTTATTTATTTAAAAGTTTTGTATACTGGCCTTCTCACCTCTCTTGAGGGACTCAGACCGGTTTCCAACCATAATATCACATACAATCAATAAAACATCATAATACATATTACAGTAAAACATTAAAACAGCAATTACAATCAATAACTATAATGGTCAGTCGTCACACTAAAATCGTTGCTCATCCTCCATCCATATCTCAGGGTGTTGGCTCACTCATCGAATGCCTGTCTCCATAACCAAGTCTTCACCTGTTTCCTAAATGTCAGGATAGACGGGGCGTTCTGATCTCCAATGGGAGAGAGTTCCAGAGTCGAGGGGCCACCACCGAGAAGGCCCTGTCCCTCGTCCCCACCAGACGCGCTTGCGAGGCCAGTGGGACCGAGAGCAGGGCCTCTCCAGACGATCTTAATAATCTTGATGGTTCATAGGGGAGAATACGTTCCACCTCTCCTCAGATTCGAACCTGCGACCTGTCGGTCTTCAGTCCTGCCGGCACAGGGGTTTATGTGTAGTAAATAATACGGAAAATTAATTTTAAAAATGAACAAAAATGGGGGAAATATAATAAAATGGGAGGGATCTCTTGAAAACCTGGGTGTGCCTTCTGAGAGTGAGGGCCCTTCCACACAGACATATAACCCAGAATATCAAGGCAGAAAACCCCACAACTGGGTTATCTGGGTCCACACTACCATATATCCCAGTTCAAAGAAGATAATGTGGGATTTTACTCAGCTGTGTGGAAGGGGCCTAAGAGTGTGTGACTTGACAGAACTAAAACACCCTTTTGCCTTCCGTCTCCATGGCAACGATGGGCACCCCCGCAGAGCCCCTCCCGCGATCTACGTCACAGGCGTTGACCAATGAATGCCCTTCTCAGTGGGAAGGGAGGCGATCCAACCGCCAGCCTCCCCCTCCGAGGCCAGGGCGCATGCGCGGAGGCCCAAACCTTGAAGGACTGAAACCAACCCAGTGTTCTCCCGTTACCTGCTGAGCCAGGAGCTGCCGACGCAATTTCTGCCTCTCCCGGATCTCCTGCAGCCGGCTATTCATCCTCAACCGACGGCCGCGCGGGTTCAGAAATGGGCGCCTCACAGACGCACAGCTGAGACGTCACTTCCTCTCTCTCTTTGGCTGTGAACATAGACGTACGAAAAAGAGCACACCGTAATGTAAATGTATGCAAAGAGTTCTTGTGGGTTGCTATAAGGAAACTATGAAAATGAACAAAATCTCTAAAATTAGAACAGCACAACAACAGAGAGGAAACAAACAAGGACATCTAATCACCTCTCAACAAAAGATTGCTCCAGGCACTGCCAGGCCATTATATGCTAATCAAGGTGGTCAGTTGAAACATTCACTCCTGGCTCCAGCAGACAAGAGTCCTTTGTCCCACCCTGGTCATTCCGCAGATATATAAACCCTTTTTCCTAGTTCCAACAGACCTCACTACCTCTGAGGATGCTTGCCATAGATGCAGGCGAAACGTCAGGAGAAATGCCTCTAGAACATGGCCATATAGCCCGAAAAAACCTACAACAACCCAACTCTTTTATCTGTTTGAGACAAGTGTGGATGTTACAATTGGCCACCTTGATTAGAATCATAGAATCAAAGAGTTGGAAGAGACCTCATGGGCCATCCAGTCCAACCCCCTGCCAAGAAGCAGGAATATTGCATTCAAATCACCCCTGACAGATGGCCATCCAGCCTCCAGAACATGGCCATATAGCCTGGAAAAACCTACAACAACCCTAATAATAATAGAATCATAGAATCAAAGAGTTGGAAGAGACCTCATGGGCCATCCAGTCCAACCCCCTGCCAAGAAGCAGGAATATTGCATTCAAATCACCCCTGACAGATGGCCATCCAGCCTCTGTTTAAAAGCTTCCTAAGAATATATATATATATATATATATCATAGAATCATAGAATCAAAGAGTTGGAAGAGACCTCATGGGCCATCCAGTCCAACCCCCTGCCAAGAAGCAGGAATGTTGTATTCAAATCACCCCTGACAGATGGCCATCCAGCCTCTGTTTAAAAGCTTCCAAAGAAGGAGCCTCCTTGCAGCTTCAAAGCCTGGCTGCTTCCTGTCTGGGGGAATCCTTTATTGGGAAGTGTTATCTGGCCCTGATTAATTTTTCTCTGGAATCTCCCTGCCTGCTTTTTGAGTGTTCCTCTTTATTTCCTGATTTTAGAGTATTTTAATACCGGTACCCAGATTTTGTTCATTTTCATGATTTTCTCCTTTCTGTTGAAATTGTCCACATGCTTGTGGATTTCAATGGCATCTCTGTGTTGTCAGAAATGTTGACCTATGTATTGTTGAAGGCTTTCATGGCCGGAATCACTGGGTTGTTGTAGGTTTTTTCGGGCTATATGGCCATGTGACCTCCCTACTTCTGAGGATGCTTGCCATAGATGCAGGCGAAATGTCAGGAGAGAATGCCTCTAGAACAGGGATCCTCAAACTAAGGCCTGGGGGCCGAATACGGCCCTCCAAGGTCATTTACGCGACCCTCGTTCAGGGTCAAGTCTGAAACGACTTCACTACCTCTGAGGATTCTTGCGATAGATCAATAGTTCTCAATCTGTGGGTCCCCAGGTGTTTTGGCCTACAAGTCCCAGAAATCCCAGCCAGTTTACCAGCTGTTAAGATTTCTGGGAGTTGAAGGCCAAAATATTTGGGGACCCACATGTTGAGAACCACTGCCATAGATGCAGGCGAAACGTCGGGAGAGAATGCCTTTAGAACATAGCCATATAGCCAAAAAAAAAAACCCTTACAACCACCTACTCTAACAACCACCATGCCAAACTACACAGAAATCCCCAAGCATGAGGACAGTTTCAACAGAAAGGAGGAAACGATGAAAATGCACAAAATTTGGCTACCAGAATTAAAAAGCTCCAGAAATCAGGACACTAAATACAGAAAAACACAGAGAAAACAGGGAAATTCCAGACAGGAAACAATCAGGGCCAGCTAACAGCTTTCAACAAAGGATTCCCTCAAGCAGGAAGTAGCCAGGCTTTGAAGGAGCAGACAGGAATTCCAGACAAGAAACTATCAGGGCCAGCTAACAGCTCCCAACAAAGGATTCCCCCAAGCAGGAAGTAGCCAGGCTTTGAAGGAGCAAGGCTATTCAATGCTAATCAAGCTGGCCAATTGCAACATTCACACTTGCCTCCAACCCTGGATACTCAAAAGATATATCAACCTCACTTGCCTAATTTACAACAGACCTCACAACCTCTGAGGATGCCTGCCATAGATATGGGCTAAACATCAGGAGAAAATGCTTCTGGAACGTAGGCATACAGCCCAGAAAACTCACAGGAACCCAGTGCTTCTGGCCATGAAAGCCTTTGACAACACAGTTCTTGTACTTTAGACAGAAAGAAAGGTATTTGTAGCATAAGCAGTGATTCTATAGTGTAGATCAGGCCTGGGCAAGCTTGGGCACTCCAGGTGTTTTGGACTTCAACTTTTCCACAATTCCTAACAGCCTACTCGCTGTTAGGAACAATGGAAGTCCAAAACATCTGGAGGGTCCAAGTTTGCCCACGTCTGAGTTTGAGCACTTAATGGTATTTTTAAAAAAGACTGAGTAAAGTTTAGAGCTTTCAGTACTCTCCAAAGAAAACTTGGATTTTTGCTCTAAACTACCCCTTGAATCAATTTTGGTTAAACATGATGTTTACACTTAGGCTAACATGCAAACTGTTTGTATGGAACTTTGGATTGTTCAGCAAACTTTGCCAGAAAATGCTGGTTTGAGTCCATTGCTGTTTGGAACGTGGTGTGAAATGAATTTAAAGCAATCAAACTGTTGTTTCATTCAAATCATAAATAAAATCATAAGCTTCAGAAAGGCCAAGAAATTTCTTTCTGTGTATTTATTCTTAGAAAGGTTTACTTTTAAAAAATCAAGCGTTCAAAAAATCATTTTAAACTATAAGAAGAAGAAAACTTTATTTCTAACCCCCGGAGAAGGACTCTGGGCAGCTTCCAAAAACAAAATGGCAAATATTCAATGTCATGTGCAGTATCAAAATAAGCAAATTAAACAAAAATAGGAAAGCAAAAAATAAAATAAAATTAACAATTAAAATAAATAGATTTATTTATTTATCATGTCACAAGCAAGTTGAGGGTACAGTTACAATGTATTTTAAAACACAAAGTTAAAAACTTGGCATTATAATAAATGCACTTTGGCCAGAAGCTGGCCATTTTGGAGTGCCTCTGGTGTCGCTGTAAGAGCCGCCGCAAACTAGCCTCCTGCGGGAGCAAACTGTGCGAGCACGTCTCTCGTTGTTGAATTCTGCCATGCTGCCCTAGCAAAGGAAAAACCACGCTGGCACGGAGAAAGGGGCGGAGAGAGAGGCGGAGTCTCATGACGTCAAGGACGTGCTTGCACAGTCTGCTCCCGCAGGATGCTAGTTTGCGACGGGTCTAAGAAGGTCCTCCATTGTGCATGTGGCAGGGCTCAGACTGCACTGCAGTAAGTGGTCTGTGGTTTGCTGTTCTCCACACTCACATGTCGTGGACTCCACTTTGTTACCCCGATTTCTGAAGATTGGCTGTGCACCTCATGGTGCCAAAGCATAATCTATTCAGCGCCTTCCAAGTTGCCCAGTTTTCTGTGTGCCCAGGGGGAGTCTCTCATCTGGTATCAGCCAGGGTTTTTACCTGCCACTTTTGAACTCTCGCTTGCTGAGGTATTCCTGCGGGTATCTCTGTAGATCTTAGAAAGCTATTTCTTTATTAAAGGTGTTGGCGTGCTGGTTGATACTAGAATTGATGGGCCAGAGATGTCAATGCCTTGATCTTTTCCTTATTGGCTGCTACTTCCCCGCGGATGTCAGGTGGTGCAATGCCAAAGGATGTCAGGTGATGCAATTTCTCCAGTAATGTCCAGACATCTTGTGATAATGTGGCATGTCTCATTAAGAGCCACATCCACTTCTTTAAACGTGGTGAGAAGTGTTCCACACTGGGCATGCATATTCAGCAGCAGAGTAGCCAAGCACAAGGGCTGATGTCTTCACTGTGTCTGGTCATGACCCCAGGTTGTACCAGTTAGCTGTCATATGATATCATTTTTAGTACCTACTTTTTGCTTGATAGTCAAAAAGGGCTTCTTGTAAGTCAGAGCACGGTCCAGGGTAACTCCCAGGTGTTTGGGTGTGCTGAAGTGCTGCAGCTCGAGATGCTTGTCTGTTCTTAAGGTGAAAAGCACACATATATGCTTTAGACTGGTTAGATTAAAACTAACAAATAAAAACAACCTTAGCAAGAGAATGTAGTTGTGCAGGCCACATAAGTAGCACATTAAGCAGTTAAACTCTGTTTAAAATCTTAAGAATATAAAATGTGGCTATTCCAATAAGTTAAGGTGTCATTATCTGCTCGACCTATATAATATTGTATCCTTTTAATCACATTTTCCCATCCTTAACATTTAAAAAAAATCTCTTGGTAAAATACTCCACATTCCCAGTTATAACTGCAGCAGTATCAAATCTTAGAACTGAATGACACAGTGTAAGGAAAAACCCGGAGGCTGGCCCCACGGGGATGCCTCGTTGCCATCTGCTTTGAAATGGATTGCACATGGTTGCAAACATCCATAGACACGCAGATTACTAACAGACTTTCTAAGAAGAAAGTTTGTTTTCAAGTACTATGAAACATGATGATCTAGCAGAAATGGCAGCAAAATAAAACATGAAGTCATAAAGCTAATTCTGACATGAATTTGCACTGTCATCAGGAAACATCTAGCTAGCCGCATTAGTCGTGGGTATTTGGTTACTTTTCTCGCAGGAGATGCTTGATTGTCACTTGATCTACATGATAAGGAAGTGGCCAGGACATTTCCAGCTGTGTGTGAGACTAAACTTCCTCTCCAGTTTTAAGTGTTGCAGTGTCTCTTACTGTGTGTGTGTGTGTTTTTTTTTAAAAAAAATCAGAGTTGCAATGATCAAAGTGCATTTGATTGCTGCTAGACCGATGAAAAATAATTTCAAGTGTTATTTCAGAAGCTTAAGGGGGTCAGTGTCATAAAAACAATTACAATCCTGGCACATCTAGGAGTTTTCTAAGTAT